GTAAAATTCACTGGAAAATATTTCTAAAGAATTGTCTTTATTTTTAAATTTTGCTATCTATGTCAACCCTTTCAAACTCCAGCCCATGGGCTGGGTCTATCACTCACTAGCCACACCCCTGATCTACAGTATGTTGTTTGTAGGCATAGAAGTTCATTTGTGATGCAAGGATATCCAATTATCACACATTGTTCTCACAGAAAAATACACATTTTTCTCCTATTGTTACATTGCTTAAATGCAAAAAAGTTTATGATATTTTTTTAAAGTTGTCAGCAGTACCTTAGGAAGATTTCTTCATACAGTATTTTAACATTCTTAGCAAATAAATTTTTTTAATCTCCACCTTCGTAAATGAATAGATTTATTTCACAAAATGAGAAGATTTGTCTTTTGTTTGCCTGGTAATTGAACAGGAAAGGGGAAGAATTAATTTTAGTAACACTAGGAAATGACTGAGTCAGCTGTGAAGATGGGAACCATAAAAAAAGTAAAGCATATTAACATAATTCGTATGTGCAGAAAAGTAATTACACAGAAGCCTATAAGAAAAATAATTGAATTTAGCTTGCCCGGCATACTAATGCATGTCTTCTTCTTTTAAACTTTTGAATAGTACATACTAGAGGTTTTAAGTCTTTTAGAATTGATGTAAATGTATTGTAGGATTAAATATTTTTTGTGTATTTAATAGATTAAAAGGGAAATATTAACAGTAGTTTTACTGATATTCTTGTACATAGAATTCATAGCACAATTAATTTTATTTTACTAAGTGGGTCATCCACATTATTTAACAGTTTTACCCATTGCAATGGAAGGTCTGAATTAGTTTTACTATTTTTAGTAAAATTAAAAATAGTTTTACCCATTGCAATGGAAGGTCTAAATATATATATAAGTAGATATCTAAAGCAATATTTGCATATTTGAAATCTCAACTGCATTGGAACTTAGAAAATACTAAAATCATATCCTCTTTTTTTCTTTATTTTTTTCCATTATTATTCTGTATATTTTCTCTTGTGACTTATTAGGTCTAGCAGATTAAATACCAGGAACATTATATTCAAATTTTCTGAAAATCATGACTAACCATTATAGGCATATGCCTTGGTAATTATTTGACTTGATCATTTCATCCGTTCCTCTAAGTGTAACAGAAGGACGAGCCAGGAAGGTTTTGAACAAATGGATCATAGCATTTTGTTGATCCTAATTTTCTGTCACTAATCTTAATTATGTTTTCTTTGGAAAAGGTAGATTTTAAACCACGGGCAATAGAAATAGCTTCTTAAAGAAACAAGTTTGAGTTGACTTCAAGCAAAACATCAGTTTACAGATAATCCAAAATGGATGGAAACTTTTCTGAATTTCAATTCAGTCATGCCAGAAACTAAGTTGGCCTTGAGCTAAATCCAGTAATATATTAAATGCAGCTTACTGTATATCCAATTGCAATCATAATTATTCAATGACAGTAAAAGCCTTCATAGAACAAGGAGGATGTCTAAATATCCATCATTGAAACTACATTTGCCAACTGATACCGTATTCTAGATGTGTTTGGACTATAATTTCCAACTAGAAGTTCTGCCAACATAGCTGAACAATAATAACTTGGAAAAGAACTAATGTCTATTTGTGTAAACTGTCTAAGGAAACATCTCATAGCAAATGGTGAAGAATAATGTTCTTTAGAATAATGTTATTCAGAAGTAGCTGAACTTTCACTGCTGATTATAGGTTCTGGATATGGTGGCTTTGCAGTATCTGGAATCCCATTTCCAACCCTGGTTTGAAGCAAAATACTCTTATAGTATCTCATGTGTAAGCTGTGATAAGTCTCCCTACTCTTCCAATAAAAGATAACAGCATGAAAGGGCCTTCCTCAATTAAATAGTTGTCAAGGTTGTTGAGACATCTCTCAACCATTAAGTGACAAAAGTGTACCGATAATTTGAATCATAAATGGCCCTTGTTTATTGTTAGGTGTAGATAACTTTTTAAATAATATCCTATTGCTTATTGTAACAGAAAAGCATTGAAAATTCTTGTGCTTTTTGGCAGTTGCCTCAATCAAAAAGTAATTTTTCTGCAGTAATTGATTTTGACTGATTTATTGGGATGAAAGAGATAGGGTTACAAGAATTTGAGAAAATGGGTGATTTCCCAGTTAGAACAGTGACCCTTTTTTAACCTTCTTTCTAACAATTTCCTGTGATCCATCAACAAAGCAGGTATTTTCACTAATAATGGAAAAGCTTGCAGCTGTTAATATGACCATCTCCTGAAATTTTATCAGCATGAGAAGTCACAGTTATAATTGTGCCCCTCAATTTGCAGTGAATTTGATAGTTCACTGTTGTTGGCAATTGTTTTAGCACCCCTTGTTTTTTTTAAAAAGGAGGGTGCTAATAGGTCCCATGTGGCCTCTAGGCCAAGGGCTGCCCAAGTCTATAAAATGATTTTTTAAAAAGCTAACAACTAAATTTATCTCAAGGTGACTTAACCCACATCACTTTACCCAGATTCTTCATGCTGGTGTAATGTAATTGGCTCACATTTTGAGAATGATACTTAATTTGAAACAGAGTTTCTCTCACAGGCAGTTCTGCTTTGGTTATCTTCTGTTTTGGAATCTTAAGGGTATTTTAAAGTTAAGTTTGCACAAGATCAAAAGGGAAATAAAGAGCTACGATTATGAAATTAACTAACAGCAGTACATCAAAGTGGGATGCCTCAAAGTTTTGTGGGAAAGCCAAACCAACTCCAGATGTCCAGTTGGAGAGGCTGTGAAGAATATCAAAACATATCCAAAATGTTTGCTCAAGCAGACTAACGAAAATCCCAAGCACTGCAGGAACTGGCACCTGTTCATTCCAGAGGACTTTTGTCTCTGTGAATTGATTGTTCTTTGCGATCAAACATTAATGTTTCCAGGGTGCAGTTGAATTTCAGAAATCTCTCTTTCACTACTACATTAGGGGAAAAAATATTTTGAACAACTCCCTGAACCAAGGACTTATACCCTAGAACAGTGGTCTCCAACCTTGGCAATTTTAAGACTTGTGGACTTGTTGCCAAGGTTGGAAACTCCTACTCTAGATCTAGAGGGGAGATTGTCTAAGAAATATAGGTATTGCAGCATCCCTATGGTCACATGATCCAAATTCAGATTCTTGGCAACTGACTCATATTTATGTCGCTTGCAGTGCCCTGAGGTCATGTGATCACCTTTTCTAATCTTCTGATATGCAAAGTCAATAGGGAAGCCAGATTCACTTAACAACTGTGTTGCTAGCTAAACAACTGCAGTGATTCACTTAACAACTGTGGCAAGAAAGGTCTGAAAATGGGGCAAAAAAAAATCACATAGCAACAGAAATGATGAGTTCAGTTGTGGTTGTAAGTCGAGGTGTACCTTCTGCAGTAGAAAATTTTCTGTTAGTTGGAGAGGCAAATTTGATGGCTTTCTGTCATATTTTTTTTTTCATTTTAATTTTATTTGTATGCCGCCCTTTTCCCTGAAAGGGACTCAGGGCGGCTCACAACTCAAAGGGAGGGGAAAAAACAAACAAAGTTACAAAAAACATAGAAACCATACATAGTTAAAAAAAACACAACAATCATACCATTCGAAGTGGGGCAGCGAGTCTTTAGCCCCAGGCCTGTCGGAACAGCCAGGTTTTAAGGGCTATGCAGAAGGCCTGGAGGGTGGTGAGGGTACGAATCTCCACAGGGAGTTCGTTCCAGAGGGTCGGAGCAGCCACAGAGAAGGCCCTCCTGGAATGATGGTCTCTTGTGACGAGCCGATAGACAGAGAATGGAAGCAGTCTGCTTCCTCCCATATTTGGGCATACCAGGGGTTGTGACACTAAATACATACCTACTTCCCTGGCTCAACTGATAAAGGAGGAGAACCTTGTGGCTTAGTGGTTAACACAACTGCTTAATATGTAATACAGCACAGGTTCAAATCCCAGTAAGGGTATGGCTAGCTGATGAGAGCTAAATAGCTTGAAATAGATCTATACTAGTCTCCCTTTATCTATTTATTTATCAGCACAAATGCAACACAAATGTAACAAAGGCAACAGTAAAAAATAGAATAGATAGTTCTTTTATGCTAGTAATTTTCTAAGATTATCATCAGTCATAGCTACCCATCAAAAGTGGGCTTTCAAAACAGGGGAAAAGGAAAAGAATCAAAGGAGAACAAAGAAGCAGCTTCATTAGTGCAGAAAACTTGCCTTAGGCATGGAAGCTGACTTCAGACTGATTGCTCTCCCTCTGCCCACTCCACCTCACCACCTTGTTGTGGAAACATTGGAGGAGGGAGTATTACATACGTCACCTTGAGATCTAAAAAATAAAGGCAGGATCTAATAACTGGCCACTGTCTGAGGAGAAAACAAGAATTTTTTCTAGATAAGAACATTTCAGGCAACTGAAAAAAACAAACAACTGGGAGATAAGCCTCAGCACTCCTGAACATAAAGCAACTACAATACTCTGCTTCTCAATGGCTGTCCTATGCTTCAGAACATGAAAAACAGCAGGCTGATTTTCCACAGTGGAGGGGACAGTTCCTTAAGCTGCTTCTGATACGTAGGTGTATTTTTAGGATAGGGACGGGGCAGTGTTTTTACACACTTAATATGGTTGAGTCACTAGTAGGGGTATGCCAAACCTCTGAGTAGGACCACAGTTTTGTGTACTTATGAAGTTAAACTCGTCTAAAATTATTTTTGCACTTACTACACTATTTATTTTCTGTCTCAGAAATGGCAGTAAACAATACCACTAATTTTAATAAATGATAGTTTGGGGGGGAGGTTTAAGAACAGTCTGCAGGTCTAAATCTCTTTTATGATTTTTGCAATTCAGTTACAAATGCGTGCATCCTGTGGTTCTCTGGTTATGACTAAGCTCCCTGTATCTTTGATTTTTATACCTTTTTAAAATAGGAGGTTATGATTTGGGCTTTTGTTTCTCCCTCCCCTTCCTCCCTCTGCTCTGGTGTAGTCTGCTAGGCAGGCCTCCATCTATTTTTATCCTGAACTACCAGGGACTGGAGGAAGATTGCTGCTTTCCCTGTTCCAAGAGCAGAGAAGCTGGTTGCAGTTTAAAAGAAGCAGCTTTGCCTTTATTAGGCAAAAGGAAGGCTGCTTTGGAGTGGATTCTAACATCGTAGTTCAGAGGTGTGCGTGATAGCAACAACTAAGACTGCTTCCAGCATCATTAACTATGAGACCTTCCTTTGGAGAATGGAAGCTGTTCTTCCACTGAGGTGAAGAGAAATACATCAGGAAGTTCTTCTAATGAAGACGACATCTGAAATTCCTCGTCTCTTTTTTTGTTGTTGTTTTAAATATGCCACTGACCTAGGACAGTTTGAAGAGCAAGCTGTGAAAAAGGAGCTGTGGATCCAGATATGGTGCAGGAGAATGTTATTTTCTTTTTAACTCTTTTGGTCTTCAAGCAGTAAGGAATGTATTTTGACAGTGATGGAATGGATGACGTTGTCACTGAAATATCTAGATTGGATATGGAGGAGAATTATAAAAAGGTAAGAGAGGGAAAGAGCTCTTTTGTCTTGGCACAATGGTTCCATTTTTGCAGAAAAGAAACAAATGAAAGCCTTGCGCCAAAAGGCTGGGGCAAGCGAGCCATTTGTATAGCATCCTTGAAGCCTGCAAAACACAGATATTTTTCCTCACAGTGTCTCTTTATTTTGCCACAGAATGCCTTTTATTGTCTGGTTAGAAGTTTACTGAGTTCAGAATCTTGGTTAAACTACATAATAGCTAGTTGCATCCAGCCTGGATTAAGATTAGCTGTTAAGGGTAGTTTGCTATAGATTTCAGTCTGCTAAAAAAAGAAAAATCCACAGTGCATTTGAAGATTGCTTTGATTGATGCATATTTAAGACTTGCAGAGAAAACCTATCTTCTTTCCTTTACTCTCCCTACTTTTAAGATAATATAATTTGTTGAAACTGAATGGGACTGAGTTTGCTAGAGTATAGGAGAGTTCTATAAACTGATATACTGGCATGTCTTGGTGGAAAAAAGAACATACCAGCTGTGATATAGAACTTTAAATATAGTAATTTTCTATGCTTGGTAATAACAGGCACACTTAAAAATAACTTTACTTACATGGCTGTGGTCTTCACTTCAAACTACAAATACAAGCTTATCCTCCTCATGGTTAGAGAGCAAAAAGTTAGTTTTTGTTGTTGTTGTTCAGCAATTGTTTCTTGCATATCTGCTCCAAGTTTTTAAACATATTTACTGTGTGTGTGTGTGTGTGTGTGGGTATCTATGTATGTATCTTTGTATGTATGTATATACTTACTTACTTACTTACTTACTTACTTACTATCTTTGTTGGCTTGAAAAGTTGATTTCCAGGGAATGCCTTTTGTTATTCTTGAAGTAACTAAAAAAGTTGTATTTTAAAGAGTGTTTGGTTTTATGATGTTGTGCCATCAAATTATTATTTTTTTACTCTTAAACACCACATAAATTTGACTGGTTTAATGGAAAACTAAATCAAAACGAACATACAAAATAACTTGATGAGTGACTCTTTAAGAAAGTTGATTCAACTTCAACTATGTATTATATCTTTATTAAGCCATATAAAATGGCACAAAAGTAGATGCAAGCTTTTGTGTATTCCAGGATTGTTTATAAAGTAAATAGATAACAAAAGATAAAACTGCAAGTAGCAAATGCAATCTGAATGTTTCAGGCAATAGAACTACAATTTAAAATCGGATTGAGCATATTGTCCATCCTTAGAAAGGGTATAGCTTCAGATGGTGAACATAATTAGAATTCAGGAAGTCCTAACATATCCTATTACAGCACTGGCAACACCCTACAATCCAAGAAGACTGGTAATCGGAATGATATGAAATTCTTGCCCAGGTGAATTGCTTATTTCATGAACTATAAGACTTCCTCTGGACGTTCATTTATAATATTAGGAACACTTTTTCCCATATATAAACCAGCAGTGGTGTATTCTAATTGTGATACCAGAAAGGGTTGCTTTCTTTTTTAAAAAATCTCCAAACTGATACACTTGGAGTCTAGACTTTTGAAAGATTTCCCAGTTTGTTAAGTGGATTCTATATTCCCTAAGGTCTTAAAAGGCACTCTAATTGTTTCCTTTGTTCATTTGTTTTTAAATAAAGAACATGTAAATGCTATTGAATTACAGATTATGTACAATATATTCCGTGCAATTTTCCTTGATCTAAATTCTGTGGACTGATAATATTACAGCCATATGCTGTACATGCCAGACTGGTGTAGAGCATTTGGAGATGTGACTATGCAAACATTCACAAAATGCCAAAACCACTTGGGAGTGAGGGGAGAGATCCCAATAAGAATCAGGTTCGTATAAATGATGACATATTTCCATGCTCTGCATAAAAACTGTATGTAACTCACTAGGAATATTTTCTATTAATACATAAGACTCATTTATTGGTAATGTATGGAATAAAGCATACTTTAAAAGCCTTGGTAAAATTATCTTCTCATCTATTATTGCTGCTTAGTGAACTATCAATAAATGAACCTACTAGCTTTTGTGGAGATCAGGCTTTCCTTAACAGCTCAGACAAAATGATAGCAATGAGTCAGCAGAATTTCTGAAACATGGCAAAAAGCAGCAATAAAACTTAGCCAGGAAATTTTGTTTGAAGTGTATCAAGAAACATTATTGGAAATAATAGCCATAAATGTTTGGAGTTTTCCTCATCTATTAGTCATGTTATTTTGACTTCATATTCTGTCAGATCTGTAAAAATTAGATTACCAAACCTACTCAGAGTTCAAAAAGTCAGAATAGATTGATAGAAAATGATATAATTAGAGGACAGACTAGATACACTGCTGGGATATGGGGAATTACTTCCTGATCTGAGGCAGGGTATGCCTAAAATTATATATTTTTTGTAAATATGAAGCAGCTATTTTTTTTCTTGAAATATGATAAAATGATCAGTATTCCTGGCAGCTTCCAGGAAAACTGATAAAACTATTTCTTGGATGCGATGTCAGGAGTTCAGCCCTGATTCAGGAGGAAAGAACTAATACAAAAGTATCTTTTTTATTTTGATCATATTTTTTAAGATACCCTAAGGATATTGAGGAAATTATAAAACATATTCTAATATTCCTGAAAGCACAAAACATGAGTCATGGATAGCGACGTTTACAATATACAGTATTTAATAAAATCAGCAAAACCTCTTATACATAGAATCTTTCTGGAAATTAGAAACTACACATTAAAAAATGCTGCATGTGAGCACTGAAAGAGGAGAGAAGAAATGGAACAAGTGAAGATGCCTTACTAGTTGTTTCTGAGGGGCGTCTACAGGATGTTGCTTCCATTTCGTTTCCAATCTATATAAGAGGCAGCTTAGACACATCTTAGCTTCCAGATTTGGGGAAAATGTTTTCTTCCTCCTTCCAATAGAACTTCATGGCAAATCTAAATCCAATAGCAAGGAACTGTCAGTTGGACAAAGAACAGCTGTGGAGATTCTCAGTGATCCTGGACATGATTGTCCCAAAGGTGCTTTTTCAAGGGGCATCTGGATTTTTTTTTTCCTTGAAGATGTTTTGGTTCTCATCCAAGAAACTTCTTCAATTCTGAGCTGTTCTATCTTACATTACAAGTATTTCAGAACCCATCATTCATATTCGTATTCCTTTGCGCATACATTTTGCCTTTTTTTAAAAAAAATGAGAGAAAGAATTAGAGGAGGTCTATCAGCATTATTTCTGCAAGAACCTTGAATATTTTATCTTCTTTGTTTTCCAGGAGATCTACATTGATATTCTGGCACAAAAATAAATAGATTAAAAATTCAGGTTGAACTTTTAAAAAACATTCTGAAAGAGTCCCAGAGGAAACATCTAAACTGCCCCAAGCCTTCTTTACCACATTTCCAGACAATGATTTGTGGCTATTTTTCTTGCCAGTGGGTGATGCCAAATAGGAGGAGAAAGTATGGCAAAATCCACCAATCATTGAAACTGCCCTGAAAATAGAATCGGTAAGGAGAAAAACTCACATATAGGGGAAGCACATATTTTCTTGGCAACTTAAGAAAAGAAGGAAATCAGACTAAAGCATATTAAATGTGGTTTAAACTATACTCTAAACCTTTTAAGAGCCATGGTGGCACAGGGGTTTTAATGCAGTATTGCAGTTTAATTCTGCTGACTGCCAGCAACTTGATTCTCACCATATTTATATTTATAAATATATTTTTATTATAGGGGAACATGCAAATATGTTAATAATATATAGACTTTGAAGATGGATGTCTTAAGGCTACATGAGTCTTCCACAGAGGCTTCCCTTACCCTCTTAGTTGATCTGATGTGACTGAGCAGTTATTATTTTTACAGATCTCGGATTGGAAGCTGTCCAAAATGAATGACTATGTAGGCATTAAATAATGAATGACTTTATAGATAGATTCAGACCTGACTCATAAACAATGGGGTTGCTATGGGCAAGCCCTTGGTCCAATTAAAATGTAATTCCATGCTCAGTTGACATTTTCCCTTCTTCCTTAGCTTCATGCCTTTCATAGCAAAGCATATTTTGCACTTCCACTAAATCAGTAATCTGTGGCTTGTGTTTGATATGCAATTTTAATTAAAGAGATGTTCGAACTTTATCTGGTTGGTTCTAGAATTTGAAATATAATGACAACCTATATTTTATAAATGAAAGAAAATAAATGGACCTGTAGCAGATTACGGTAAGACAGATAACACTGCTATTGTATCATGATAAAGATCCCAGCTGATAGAACTTGAGTTCTATTATATTGGCTATGTTTATAGGAAAGCCACTTTCACACATACAACTGTCCTTTCTTGGCTTCCAAGTTAACCACAGTCTAATATTATGGAAAAGGTCTTAAGGATCCCATGTATGCAAATATTGAGTTTGTAAATAGAGTACGCTGGCCATAGATAGAGTGCATTGTTGACAGTTCTTCCTCTTTAGTTATTACATTGGCTTTATCTATGAGTCTAAAAACTTACACTATAATTATTTGGCATCTGGTTAGTCCATTATAGCAAAGGAACCATTGAGGCGTTTGAAGGTTAAAATCCATTCTCAAACTTCTAGGAATTAAAATATCTACACTTTAAAAAGTGGATAAATGACCCATGAAACAACTTTACAATGTATAAATAATTACCAGCAGACTTGTAATTGTGATATAATGGGTGGCATTTAGGTTGTTTGAAGTCATTTGGCCTGGGTTACTGAACTGTGATCTTGCTGCCAAAATCCCTATTATAATTACCAAATATCTGATATGCACATATAACAGTTGCTTTATACTGTACAGTATTGGAAAAACATAGTGGATTCAGTACTAAAACTAACAATTGTTGAGCCATAAATACATATGCATTTCTTTTTAAAATTATATGTAAAATTATTTTCTAATAGCTCTTTTATCTTCTGCTTGTGGATATTTGTTACAACCAAAGATCTTTTATGACTGGT